CCCAGGATTGCTTTTGCTATTCTGGGTCTCTTCTGGTTCCAGATGAATTTAAGGCATACTTTCTCAAGATCTGTGAGGTGTGCTAAAGGTAGTCGAATGGGAATTGCATTGAATCTGTACAGCAGTTTTGGGAGTATGGCCATTTTCATGATGTTGGTTCTTCCTATCCATGAGCAAGGAATATTTTTCCATTTACTGAAATCTTCTTCTACAGCTTTATTTTAGACAGACAATTTAAGAACCAATTACATATGTCTGTAACGATAAAGGAAAGGAAACAGCTTTCCTCTGAGAAAGGAAAGACACAAAATGAGACTGTTTCTTTCGTACATAATCATCACAAGGTTAGGCACTCTGACAGTGTCAGGCAAGAACTCTTGGTGTGAGGTGAGTGAAGTACTCAGTTTAATATAATAAAATGCATGAAATAATTCATCAAGAGAAATAGTCTAAAGAATGAACGTGGGACCCATGTTTCTGCAACTTTCTGACACAATTAATGTAATTCTCCACACTAAAGGACAGGCACCCCAGTTTAGTTAGGTTCCTCCTCCTGAGCTTGACAGGGCACTATTATCTTAGGGGCTCTTAACACTCATGCTCATCCCAGAGTTTTCCTGATCTTAATTAATGTAGTGCATATTTATGAACTCTTAATGAGACTGGAGTAGGGTGAGTTGAAGGTGACTGAAGGTCAGGCTAGGAGGTCCAACACTGTGCTTTCACCTATAGGATCAACTTTTGCCAGGCGCGGTGGCTCATGCCTATAATCCCAGCACTCAGGAGACTGAGGCAGGAGGACTGTTGTGAGTTCAAGACCAGCCTGGGCTACAAAGTGAGCTCAAGGGCAGCCTGAACTGCATATGGAGACTCTGTTTCAAAAAGACAAAAAAAAAAAACCCCAAAACCCAAAAAACTTTTATTTTTGGAAGGCAGAATGACCCTCCACTGCTGTTTGAATGTAAATGATGGAAGGAAGTTCCACTGTTCCTAATTGTACTCACTAGTAATTATGGGGTGCTTTCTGGATAATGTTGGTTTTGGTAGGCACAGAGTTGCTGGAGTCAATCTGTAATTTGTAGCTATGAAGAAAATCTGTGAAGCTCAGGCCTAGAAAAAAAGTTCTTTAGTCAGTCTCCTGCAGAAAGGGTTACGAATTTGATAGTTCCTTCATGTCAAAACCTTAAATATTCCAGGTGAGTTCTCCTGCGATGAATCTTTTATTTTTTTCCACGATGCTGGAGACTGAACACAGTGTTTGGCACCCAATATACAAGCACTCTACCCTTAAGTTAAATCTTCAACATTTTTTTTTTTTTTTTTTTTTTGGTTTTTCTCGGGTACCGGGAACCGAACTCATGAACTTGTGCTTGCCAGGCAGGCGCTTTGCCACTGAGCTAAATCCCCAGCCCCAATCTTCAACCTTTTTAAAACCTTGAGACAGCATCTTGCTGAAGTTTTGGGGCTGGCCTTGAACGTGTGATCCTCTGCCTCCAAGTGTCTGGGATTACAGGCTGTGTGGTGAATCTTAAAGTGTTGAGAGTTCACACTGTGAGGAAAGTTTGTGTTATGGTTGATACATTGTGTTAACTTGGGGAGTCTAGAGGTTTGACTAAGTGACTCAGCAGTTCTGCCTCTTGGAGTGAAAAGGACATGCCCTTACCCTTCTGGGATGTTGTTTATTGTGTTAATTTGAGAAGTTTAGAAGTTAACTATGCAACTTCGAAGGGGTCCAGGGTACTTTGTATTCATTCTGAGCCTGTGCAAGAGGCAGGCATGCAGAGGGTGTGGGTGTGGAGGACCACCCCCACCTCCCCAGAGCGGGTAGACTGCATAAAAAAAGGAACTGAGGAAGGACTGGCTGCTGGTTCTTCAGAGGAGCTCCGGT